AGTCAAGCTTCATGCGTAGCTAGTGACCCACACACCCCATTGTGGCGCCTGGAGAAAACCTGATCTTCGTCCCGTTGAAGCTTAGCTGTGGCTAAGTGACTGCGCCATGACCATTCCGGCAGATTTTGGCTGTAAGGCCCGCCGACACACCTCCATTCGAAAAGAGCCTCACACGATGTCAACCACGATGTCGTTGGCCAGCGCTGCACGGAAATTGCCGCTGAACGGCAAAAACGGCAGGCTAGGTGTAACGGAGCAATGCCCAGCAGCTCTTGTTGAATGCATGACCTTGTTTTGCAGAGATTGTGCGAGTTTCGCGTTGGGCAAATGACGACACAGACGCTCGTCCCCGCGTGCGCCTTCGACGTTCACGCCTCCCAAGCTTTACAGCATGCGCGCTATCGTCTTGGATCGACGTAACCGGTAGGCTAGACCATCCTCCAGCCTCTAACCAACCTGCGTTCCAGCCTCCGGCCTCGCGCGACTTGCCCCTGGTCCATCTTGTTTGGTAGAGCATGCGACTAGTCGGAACGCGTGTGCCGTCCATGTACTATGACATTGAATGTTTATGGGGAAACGCCAGAGTTTGGGTGCTATGATGCAAGCGCCCTTGTGGAAAGGGTGTAACCAGGCCGATACATCAAAGGCAGCTCGACCTGCTTAAATTACACTGATAGCGACACCCTCGTTCCGTGGCCTCATTCACACCCTTGACCTCGCGCACCATGTCTTCACCCAGCGCGTCTTCGCGGTCTGGTAGTCACCGCAGCAGCTCATCGTCAGTGTCTGCTTTGTATTCGACGCTGGTACCGTGTATAGTGGTCTCTGGAATCCTCGTGGGTGCTTTCTTGCTATTGCGAGCAAAACAGAGGCGTTTATACGCACCACGAACTTTCCACGATGCGCTTTTCGAAGAGTACGTTTCATCACATATCTGCCTCCACATCTTCAATCGAGACTGACGAAGAACACAGTGAGAAGACTCCATCGGCGGGTTCGAGCAAATTCGGCTGGATCAAGAAGTTCATGCATATCAGTGATGAATACGTCCTCAACCACCACTCCCTCGATGCCTACCTCTACATGCGCTTTCTCAAGGTGCTCACACTCATGGCTTTTGTCGGTGCCATCATCACTTGGCCAGTGCTTTTCCCTGTCAATGCGACTGGTGGAGGTGGTGAATCCGGCCTGGATATCATCAGCTTTTCCAATGTCGAAAACGACGTTCGCTACTTTGCCCATGCGCTCATGGCCTGGGTCTTCTTCGGCTGGGTCTTGTTCCTAATCGGAAGGGAGATGTTGTACCTTGTCAAGGTCCGAAAGGCCTACCTGTTGTCCACCTGGAACGCCAGTCGCATCTCGCAACGAACGGTCCTCTTCACCGACGTGCCGGAGAAGGATCTATCGCTCGAGAGTTTACACACCGCGTTCCCACAAGTGGCGCAGATCTGGTTGGTACCTGACGTCAAGGACCTAGAAGATGACGTTGAAGAACTTGAAGAGAATGTACCCAAGCTGGAGGCCAGCGAGATCAAGTTCATGGCAGCTGTCACCAAGCAACAGCAGAAGAAGGGTAGCGAGAAGAACGCAACCTACGACAAAGCATTGCGACCGACGCATAAACTGAAGCCCCTTATTGGGCACAAGGTCGACTCCATTGGCTACTACCGCAACCAGATCAAGGAGCTCCTACCCAAGATACAATCGGCTCAACAGTCCCATCTCGCTGGCCGGGAGAAGCTTGCTAGTGCTGTCTTCATCGAATTCGATACCATGGCCGCCGCCGAAGCCGCTTTCAACGAACACCAACATCGCCGACCAGCAAGCTTTGAATCCCGCCAGATGGGTGTCTTACCTGATGAGATCATCTGGAAGAACCTCGGTATGGGCTCCAAGAACAGAAAACTCCGTCATATCCTTGCGAATATCTTCATTGCGCTTCTGATTATGTTCTGGGCCATTCCTGTCGCGATTGTTGGTATCATCAGCAACGTCAACTATCTCACAGAGAACGTGCCGTTCTTGGCATGGATTGACTCCATTCCTGGACCTATCCTTGGTGTAGTCACTGGACTTTTGCCTACCATTCTTCTCGCTGTACTGATGGCATTGGTGCCTATTATCTGCCGCTGTAAGTTGTCCCTAAGTTCGCTACTCCCAATGCATACTGACAAATTTAGTCGTTGCCAAACTTGCAGGAGCAGTAACTCTGTCCGAAGTCGAGCAGCAGACCCAAACCTGGTACTTTGCATTCCAAGTAATCCAGGTCTTTCTCATCACGACCTTCACTTCCAGTGCCACCGCCGTGGCCAGTCAAATCGTCAGCAATCCGGCATCGGCTGTCTCACTACTGTCGAAGAATCTTCCCAAAGCTTCCAACTTCTACATCTCGTACTTCATTCTGTATGGACTTGCCAACGCTGCAAGGTACCTTTTCAACCTGATGGGACTGGTGGGCGTGTTCATCCTGAGCAAGTTCGCAAAGACACCGAGAAAGAAGTATATGCGCTACGTGTCATTCACTGAGCCATCTTGGGGAGCAGAGTACCCGAAGTGGACTAATTTGGGCGTTATCGCGATCTCGTACGCCTGTATCGCACCACTCGTTTTGGGCTTTGCGACCCTCGGTATCGGTTTCATCTATTTGGCCTACCGTTACAACATGATCTACGTCCACGACACCCATGTTGACACCAAGGGTGGCTTCTATGCTCGCGCGCTCGAGCAGCTCATGGTGGGTGTCTACCTTGGAGAGCTCTGTCTCCTGGGTCTTTTCGGTATCGGTATCGGCAACAGTGTCACATCTGCTGGTCCTACGGTGCTCCAGATAGTCCTGATCGTAGCCACCATCATCTTCCACGTCATGATGAAGCGCAAGATCAAGCAGATGAACTTGCTCGATGACTCGAACCATCCCCAACAGCACAACGACGCTGAAAGACATTCGGAAGGCAATGGCATGCACCCTGGATACAACAACGTCAAACGCTCGCGCGAGGACAGCAGGCGATCTGAGCAAGCTCTTGTCTCTGGCTACAGAGAGGAAAGCCGCCAGTACGCCGGTGAGCAAGGCGCTGGCATGGCTCCTCCGTCGAACGCCCCGCCACAGCGATCCCTACTCAAGAAGATGTTCTCCCCACATACACTCTCCGTCAGCGAGATTTCCTCTTCTCTGATCACACGTTTCCGCCATCCTGTACCAGCCTATACCCAGCAAGACGTCCTCGAAGCCTACCTACACCCCGCTTTGGCGCAACGCGAAGAAGTCATCTGGCTCGCGAGAGACCAAGCTGGCGTCAGCAAAAACGAGGTTGCGGAGCTGACAGAGAGCCTTGGAAGCTATGGTGTCGAGGTCACGGATGAGGGCGCAATAATGAATGAGAAGGGCAAGGTCGAGTGGGACGATAACAGCGTGAGGCAGGCGCCTCTTTGGGATCATAAGGTCGTTTATTAGGGGTTTCCGTTTGCTGTAATGAAGGAAAGGACGACGATGTTTACGCGACACCAATAATTTGTATTATACCTTTAGCTGACACGATAATATATTCAATTCACACATTCCACGTCCTCGCACCTACCGCAGTCGATCATCCAGCCGCTCTCGACCCACACCGCCATTGTTACTCGTGGAAAGTCGCCCCGGGCTCGAGCGCCAAAGCCAGAACTGGCCTCAGGTACGATGACACCAAATGTGGGGGAATGCGGACTACACTCGATCAGGTGCGGTGCCTGAGAGGCTTGCTGGACAAAAAAGGAACCAAGTCCACTACTTCGATGCCGGACGCTCTCCGGTCACCGCCTAGTGGACCGCCTAGTGCAACGCAACGAACAATAAACAAAAGCTATGACGTCTTTGAACCAGAGACCTAGAACTTGGGGTTGCCAACTTTCAAGTACCTAGTAGCTGGTATATGAAGGTGTCGTGTTGAAGCTGGGGTATTGAATCATTTTTGCTACACAGCTGTGCAGTATTCTGAACCACCATACCACTTAGCCTTTCTCTCGAATCTACAAATTGAACATTATGCCTCGCAACGGAGACGGATCTAGCGACAATGGCCCAATTGACGGTCAAGAGCTTCTTCACGGAGCTTCTGGTGATGTGCGTCTTCCAATGGACAGAAGACTGGAAAGTGCCTAACACGTGACCAACAGAAAACCCTCCAACACACGAAGCACGTAGCCCCCATGCCCGAAGTCGAAGCAGGAGACGGTAAGAAAAAAAAACCCCAAACTTGCCCAAACCCGTCCAATCTCACATAACTAACACCCCACCCCAGCCCTCCCCGGAATGGGCGCCGGCGGCGCCGCAGCCCCCATCGCCGACAACGCAGAAGAATTCGGCGTCAACGAGCCCAAAAAGGACCCTCTCGACGACGAAGAAGACTTCTCCGCCCAAGACCCGCTCCCACCCAAGAAAGACACATCCTCCTCAAAGAAGCGCACAGAACCGCACCACAGCGCCACCTCGCCCGAGCGCTCGCAGCTGGACCAGAAGTTCACAAAGCTAGATAGAGACGAAGTGGATATCTCGACGTCGTCGAGCAAGGGACAGGAGATGGATGCGAGGGCGCAGCGTGTGGCTGATGCTGTGGGGAAGAGTAAGGGGGCTGGGGATGAGGTTGTGAGGAAGAATGGGGGACATGCTGATGTGGAGGAACTGCATGGCGCCACGAGTTTGGAGAGTGGGGATAGGAGTAAGGATGGGAAGAAGGGGGGGCAGGATGAGAAGAGTGGAGGTGGAAGTGGGAAGGGAGGTAAGGGGGATGCGGAGGGTGTGGAGGCGCATTTGGGGGATAAGGTGCAGAGGGAACAGGCTAAGAAGTTTGGTGTTAACCTTGATAACTAAGGTACATGCTTGGGCACACCTGAGTAGTAAGTGATAAACACCAAGTCGTGTTATATGTACCAGCTGGAAGGAGTTGCATTACTTCGTTGTATCGGCAAGGCAAGGTTAGACGCTTCAGCACCCACCCATATTTACAATCCTCCTCGTCCACCTAGAGCACAAAGCTCACCACACCCATGATAGCGAGGGCCGACCAGACGGCCCACGCACTTCCTGTTACGCTCGCAGCAGCCCCTTCGAACTCGGGCAGCGTGTTGTTACTATGCCCACCAGGCATAGTACCATTACCGCCACTTTCCGCGCGGCACTTTGCAATAACCTCCGGGAACAATGCAGTAGTATTCGCATCGACAACAAGGTACTGGCAAATCTCCGCCGAGCCATCCAGAACCGCATCGACGTACTCCTCAGTGCAAGAACTAAGATCCCAGGTGTAGCAGTATGTCAGCCTGTCGCTGGTGAAGGCGTCGAATTGCACATCAGGGTCTGGGCGGCCAGTGCTCATGTACGTGCTGCTCTCATCCGTTCCAGATGTTGATTCGGTACCAGTAGCAATGTCGAGATTGAACAGCGCGCGCGTGAAGATCTTGAAGGCGGTTTCTGGCTGGTACGCTGGAATCGCGTGACCGGCTTGGTACGTGCGGATGTAGCTCAAGTTGCCGTATTGACGAACGAGGCCACCGACGTAGGAGTCGTTGGTCTGGATCTCGGCGTATTGTGCGGAGGCATACCCAGCTGAACCAGTCCAGTTGATTGCCTTGGCGACGGCATCACCGCCAGCCCAGGGGCAGGCAAAGTCTAGATCTCCGTAGACGAGCGAGACTTTGATGCCGTTGTCGAGCAGGAAACCAAGGTCGTCGAGCCAGTTGTCACGTGGGTAGTCACCAATGTCGCGGTATGCGGAGGAGGCTTCAGGTGAATTGCCTGTCCAGTTTAGTGGTACGCCGAGTTCAGCTTGTACCCATTCGCGGTTCAAGTAGCCTTCATGGAATGGGGGTGGGAATGGAGGTGGTGACGGGGTCGAGATGTCGTAGTAGTCTCGGCCTGCATACTGGTTGTACGGGCTGACTATTTCCGCGCGACAGAACGATTCTGCGTCTTCGCAAATCTCGTTCACACCGGCATCGATACCCAGATTCTCGGGGTCGTCTTGTCTAGCCGCATCGCGGCAGTTCTGGATGCGCTCGAGACATTCTGGTACTGCTTCAACCATGGCGTTGTAGGTTGTCTCGTTGACGGCCTCGATGCCATATCCGTTTTGACGGAATGCTTGCTGAGGGTAGTAAGGGTACTGCACGTAACGATCAACGCATCCTGAGATGAGAAGCAGGGTATCAAGGTGCATAATATAACCCTCTTCGCCAAGAGTACCATTCTCAATACGCTGGTTCTGCTCTTCCCAGAAGGACATCATAGCGGGGCCGTAGCGTCCGCCATACGATTGAGCTGCAAGACTGATGCGAGTGTCATTTGGAAGGTAGTGGGGAAATTCTTGGAACCAAGCTTGCGCAAACTCCCATGCTGCTACGGCTCCGTTCACACTGCCAAAAGCGGTGTTGTTTGGCTCGCGACTGGGGAAAGTTCCGGTGAGCAAAGTGGTGTTCTGCTCAGGCACGGTTGAGGTCTCGTTGAGAAGCGTGACCTCACCGGTAACAAGGTCGCGAGTGATGTTCTGCAGGGTATCATACGAGCTGCAAGCAAGAGTCAACAAACAAGTCCTTCAACAGGGGAGCATATGTAGTGCTTACAAGCCAACTTGTACCGGCTGGTCGAGATAGAGCATGTTCGAGGCTCTGTTCCAACTCCATTCCGCTGGTCGTGTAGAGTTGGAGTCCGGGTTCGCATAACACGGTCCGTTCTCTTCGAGAATACCATACATGGATGAAGAACCCGGTCCGCCATTAAGCCAGATGGTGAGTGGCGCATTCGTCGGATCCTCACGAGCTTCAAAGAACCAAAAGAACTAGTTTGCATTGGTAAGTGAGAGCTATGTATGCTTTAGACCTGCACTCACGGTGTTGATCGGGTAATCCTGGCCTTGGCCCAAGTCCGCGGTTCCCGGAGGCAGATAGACGTGGCCGGAGTAGGACTTAACACCGGGAGTGGTTTCGCAAAGCGAGTTCTAACATGTACATATTAGATAAGAAGCGTTGCTGATTGCTAAATCGCACGAACCTCTTTGAAGGTGATTTTCACACCATCTCCAAAGCGCGATTCTAAAACTTTGAGACCCGCGGGCTCCGCTGGGAACTGAGCCAAGCCGGGCGCGGCGGAAACCAGCAACGCGACGGCTGCGGAACGAAGGGTAGGAAGCATTGCGAGGCTGTCAATCTTAAGGCTCCAGGAATCCGAAGCCCATCAAGGTTTATGTATGCGCCCGACGGTACCATCGATGCCAATGGCTTCCAAGCTTGTGTTCATCCTCGCGAGCCGTGTCATCGGCTTTACAATCAGGCATCGTTGTGCGATACAGGCTTGGCGATGGCTTGGAGTACATTCAAAGTGGGAGCGTTGAACTTTGGTTGACTACATCAGGAAGGTGGAAGGGGTGGTCGCCAAGTACCAAGTCTCGTCGTGAGCGGGGTGTTGTTGTTGCGCGCGGTAGTGCGAGCCGAGCCTCGTCATCGTGCTGTAGCGACGGAATACCGCAACAACCTGTCATTGTTCAATTCGACTACGAGCCGTAAACAGGAACTCCAATCCTCAACACCGTAGTGCATTTTCCGGCATTTTCCGCGTGAGAACCGTCGTGTTTCATCACCCGAAGTATGGCTTCCCGCGTTTACTCGTTCATCGGGCCGTCGGAGCTAAGAAAGTTACTTCAGAGCCTGCTTATCCATGTGCTCAATGTGAGATTGGAGCACGACTGAGCCTATGTCTGAGTAAATAGTCTTCAGCTTTGATCGGAGATGAAAGGCCCCAAAACACTTCTTGTGTAGAGCCAGGCCGCCATTGTTTTTGAAGGTCTCCGCCGTAACGTTTGCAGGATCCCAACTAGACCGCCGGATATGTGCTGCCATACCTGTATAGTCATGGGATTCGAAAGTCAAAATCTGGGCAGAGTGCGCGAGATCGTACAGCTTTTGGATGCTGAAGGGAGTTTCAGAAGCTCTCCGTCGTGCTGGGTAGAGATCGTTTTCCAAGAGGAAAGAGATGAAGGAGCCTAGAACCATGGCTCGACACTTGGGCTCCCATGATTCATCGACTTGACAGACATACACGTGTATGATATCGTCTAGAATGTCGTAGAGGACATCCAACATAGCCGAAAGTGTAGCTTCCCTGATCTGCAACATGCGCTCTTGAAGGTTGGTCAGCATAACTGCACAATTGTTTCGATTGAGAGTGAGATTCTCATACCCAGAAGCCCCGGAGGCATGTACTTTGGAAGCTTTTGGCCGTCGTCCATGATAGCATTCCCGTCGTCATCTAGCCCGATCTTCTTCACTGTAAATCGGGTAAGGCGCTGAAAGCTGTCCTTGTAGCCAAAAGTCCAGGCAACATAGAACCAGCCGGGATCGCATCGTTCTCCGGAGTCCGTATCGGGATAGTGGCATTGCGCCCATCCGTAGAGATCCAGGAACGGCCGAACAAGCTTGACAATGTCGTACCTGGCGCACACGACAGCGAGCTCGAGTAGGGCATCGATTGTAAGGCCGTCTTTCCGTGGTATTTCATGGAAGCGCAGATGAGCGATTCGAAGTGCAATGTACAACGCATCTACTTCGTCGTCCCGGAGCGGCACCTCAATGGCGCCGTTTTCTTTCCGGTGTCGCTCGAACATTGCTTTCCATACCGGGCTCGCCAAGGTCATGGCTGTCGAAGATACCTGGACCGGCTGAAGACCAGCTGAATCGGTGCCGACCAATAGGGTGGCGTCGCCGCTATCGTCAAGAACAATAGTCGGCTGCAACTCCGACATATCGACATGTCTGTCTTCCACCGATGCAGCTACATCTTCCGGCGTGTCGACCGTGCACTGCACTGCAGGTGTTGTTCTCTCAGGGGTAGGACGCGCTCGGGAAAGGAAGCTAGACCACATGATCCAGCCTCGCGCTTGCTGAGACGACCTCGGGAATGATGATGTCCTGCGGTGGCCAAGGTGACGTCGCCAATTGTGTAATTCCGGTTGGAGTGTGAGTGTGTGGCAAGCTGGCTACGCGTGCAATGATGTGCACGCGTCCCGAGGTCGGTGCACCGTAGACGCGTCGGTGATCGCGAGGCTAAAGGACGCTAGTGGGAAGAGGTTTCAGATGTTCGTTTTTTCAGCGCAAACAAAGACAGAACAGCCCTTCGACAGCTACCCCAGCAAGCTTCCAATTTTACTTTCGCGCGCTGCCGCCAGCCGCCACACTTCGATTGAGGCGATGCGGGTCCATGCCAACCTTGGAGAGGTCAGCCTCGCCGAGTCGTAGCCGACGCCTGATGCTTCCACAACAGGGCTCGCCCCGTACGATCCCAGATGGACGGATTGTACACCCTGTGTATTCGTGCGATCCAGCCTCGCCGACATGTGACGACAATGCTACAGCACAGCGCCTCATAGCTTCCAACCATATGGAACACGCGGAATCATGCCGAACGTCGGTTTTGGCACGATCATTCGCGGCGCGACCCAATTTCCGGAGTAGTATATCCACAATAATTATACTTCGATGACCGTTCGACCCTTCAGTCATCTGGCAGCATTGCGGTTTGAGCAGAGCTCTATGGACGGCGATCTCCGTGGCCACTAAGCTTTGATACAACAGAATGTCGAGCGGGTGCAGCAGGTTGCAGCATGCATGTTGCGTGCTTGCTTCCCACACCGCGCAGCTACACGTAACACAACGACAGATTCTGGCGAGGTCCAAAGTGGTGTTTATTGATCAAAGTCACCACGGCCTTCAGTAACGAATCAACGGATGAGCACGCCAGGGTCTCGATCCCTATCATAACCTACCCGTGCCCCGGGTCGCCCAGAGCGAACGACATGTGACCAAGCCACTGACTCCATATGAAGCTGGCTGTGCGCCAGATGTGGCCTGTCTCGGCTGTAAGAATCGATGTGCATCACCCTTTCGCTCAAAAGATTAACACTAGATGACTCGATCTGGGACCACTGCACGCGTAATGCGCATTCGCCGACGTACGATGCGGTCAAATCCGATGCCATGTCGAACGACTGTCTATGCATATGAGAGCTCAACTCGGTGTTGCACACATGTCCAGCGCATACTACCATTGCAAGGGCAGGCAGGCCTTATACGTCTAGTGTTCTTTGGGCACCACACGGCTACCCACGGTTATGGGTGCAGTCTGAGAGAGATTCGTCATCGCATTGGCAAAATCCAGTCGAGCAGGAGGACCACATGTCATCTGACACCTACGCCTCAGGCCCAAGGCATCCAAACACCGCATTTACCCGTTGTATCGGATCAGAAAACCTCATACCGGCCAAATATCACCCTCCATAGATGAGGTTGGATCGCGGAAGATACAGGTCGTTTTCTAAACTGCCGATCCAGATTGCGTCACAACTGCATATCCGATAGGGTTCTACTCTGGGTCGATCCAATGCAAGTACGCGGTTACACAGTGTTTGCAAAGACTAAAGCAGATGTTGAAGTGACTGCGTCTCGAACACGATGCAAAGCATGTTGCATCAAGAGGCGGATGAACCGGAACGAGTCAGCGTCTTGGGCTTCATCGGGGTCATTAGCAAGGACCTCATGGCCGTGCACGATGATCTCCTCATGTTTAGAATGCTCGAAGCGAAACTTTATCACAGCATCATCGAATCACGACAGGTTTCAAGCGTTCGAGGTCCAGGATACACGTAACGTATATTCCACGCTGCTGCGATTTCTTCGCAGCTGACGAATTAGAAGAGTACCGTTGTCTCCCGACGAGTGGTAGACAAGATCCAGTTCAGCTACACAAATCTACGGGCTAACCGGTGGCTTAGCTTCCGCTTTGGCCTGTCCGGTTTGTCGGGTCTCATACCTCATGGTGATCATAGCTGCATGTTAGCGCAGCAACACCACTGTTGATACGATGGACACGAGTGGTACCCAATCGGCACAGGCACATGGCATGTTACCATGCCGGTAGCCTAGCGAGTATGATCAGCGCATCACACCGCCCAGTAACAGTTGAACCGACACATCGGACACATTCTACGCCACAAAAAGCTTCCATGACTGAGCCCGTAGCGTCCGTGTGGTAAAGCATGCACTCGATTGCATTGGTCGCAACTCATGTCACCGGAGATGGCGACAGCCCGCTTTCGTCCAGTACCGTCCCCATTACCTGTCAATGCAACTCGCAGAGCCTGCAAGCATCAACTAGTCGATGTCTTTCCATCATGTTCAACGACCAGCAAGAATGTCAATCTCAACGTCATAGGAGCACATACCGGGTGCGCCCTATCACAGAAGCCGACATGCAAGGACGTTGAGCTAACCGCAAACCAGTGAGCGTGGGAGCCCTGACTACTGGACGTTCGGTACCAGTCTATGGCTTCAGCTTCTGAATCCACTTTCAAACCCCCACCGATTGTCGAGTGCGTCTCTAGATCTCATTGTCTCGGCATCGGCAAGAAAATCTACGTCCCAAATCGGGTTTGCGCGGACTGTCTTCAACGATACGATCCACAACAATTGCGAGTTTGGGCTGACGCCAACACTGTTGCCTTGCAACTCATCAACGAAGAAACTGCGCGCAAGCACATTCTGAAACGCAACATCGAAGCTCGTGGTCGCTATCTCTGCGCCTTTGAGGATCCGGATTTTCAGCACTGCAGGTGGCGACTACATGACCTGAACCTCCGCGGCACTCGCCTGGACTGCCCTTCTGTCCGCAAGAAAGGTACTGCGTGTACCAGGTGTTGGAGAAGGCGTTTGCGGAAGATCAGAATCGCCCAGTTCTTCACGCCGACGGGCCTGTGCCATGAAGAAGCAGACAAACTGGTGACAAGGTCGGCCGGTTCGGAGGAGGGCAGTGAGGAGTCGGACGATGACGTGGAAGGCTACAACACAATAACGAGTTGAAGCCATACCAGAACCTGACCTGGTAAGTCGCTCTGCTAGGTTGTCGGCCACGCTAACAGATCAGGTGTACCACTGTACGACCTGCTTGTCATGCTAGCACCGCCGCCGAAGCCACACTGTGCATTCGGTACCGCATGTGGCTCACGTCCAGGAGGACAAGAACAAGGAACAGATATATGTTCATGGTGCAAGAACATCAGCTTCGACGCACTGTACAAGCAGGCCGAAGCACATCCAGACAAGCCGTTGCTGAGGTACCGCATCGATGTCTACAGGCACCAGCTTGAGCGCGACAGCTCCGAACGCATCAGAAAAGGCTGGACATATCTCTGCGCCTGCAAAGACCCAGAGTTCCGCTTTTCAGCATGGCGCAACGACTTCAACCCCCAAGACTCTCGCCTCTGCGGCACAGTTCGGCATCGCGGACAGCTGTGTGCACGATGCTACCGCAAAGCACGAGAGCAATCCTGCCATTGGCTTTCGGAATTCGATGGCGACCGAGTGGGGTTTCCGTGTGTCTTCGAGGACCCACGACTGAGACGGCCCGTCGACAGCAACTGGAAGATTGGACCGCGGAATCAGCAGGGTGAGGCGGACCCGAGCTGGGAAAAGGATCCTAGGAGAGATGGACGCTGCGACAGGACGAGGTTTAGGAACCAGCTTTGCCAGAAGTGTTTCAACCGCATGTGCGAGATTCGAGGGTTTGGTCGGTACTTCGATACGGAATGGGGCATACTGCGCCGAAACTATGGAGTGTGATCGCAGCGCTATCGACGAACCGATCTGAGTCAATCATCTCGTCGAGTACCCTCAATACGTTTTCCGTACACCTCAGATGAGGTTCGATCACAGCCCTGGGTCGGCACACGAGCTCATCACCGACGAACGACAATGAGTTCTCCGAACATGCGACAGTACCACACCTACGGCTACTGCTTCTGGTGCTCACCTTTGGCACGGAATTAGAGGCAGGCCGCCCCTTACAGCTTTACCGTATTCACAGTATGGTTGCGAAGACGCTATGACTAGTGCTTATAGCACATTCCTCCGCACCGGAAAACCAGACAGCAACATCGACACACAAGAAACGGCACATCGCAAGGGAGCCGCAAGCCGTTTCACATACTGGATGCTACAATTGCTTCGCAAAACAAGCACATTAAGACAAAGAAGTTGGATTCTCCGCAGGATATACCAACACGAAAATGGACCACAAAAGGCACATTGTCTCCGCTGGTAGCAGCGCTCAGATGCAGGCGCATAGCAGTAAAGGTCGCGGCTGCGTCGTGCTTTGCGGTAAACCTTACCTCCCTTCTGAACGGTCTTTTCCTCGGAGTTTTTCAGTTAGTGAGTGGCGAGTTAATTATGTGCGATGGCACATGAGGAGGTATTGCGATGGAGCTTGGTGGTCTTGTGGAGGGGTCATGGTTTTGGAGTCGGTGCGTGCCAACAGTGACTCCTGCAACGACCATCTGTGTCACTGGATACCAACGTGACTCACTTTGGCTATCTAAGAACCTCAAGAGTACTCTAAGCCATTCTTGAGCTCTTCCCGACAAAATAGAGCTAGCCATTAATCAAAACTTCTACCTGACCTTCATCACAAACCTCAACCTCGAAGTCACGACAAGCGAACGAACCCTTCAGCATGTCATTGTACATATTAGAAGAGACGCCAGCCGACGGCCCAGACGAAGTCATGCGCTGCTCCTTCTTCGCCTTCGATCGGGGTATATGCGCTGCCGACGCAGATGTAGTAGCAGACGAGCCTTGCTACTATTGCGTCAGACAGCACCCATATCTCCTGGAAGAAAATATAAAGGATCGCCGTTATCTGAGACGTGGTCTACAACATCGCGTCCATGATTCAGATCTTGATGACCAGTTCAGAAAGCTCAAGGAAGATGCGTCGCGGCCTCCTGCTGGGCGGTCGTTGTGTTATCTCCATCACCTCAAGCAAGGTGACTACGACGCCAATAACGCATGGTTCGAGAGACTACTCATAGCAAGAACACATCACAACTGGGAGAAGTAGGAGAACCGCCTGCGCTTCTCCCACATCATCATCTGCGAACCAGTAGATGACCCGTTGGCGCTTTGCCGTGAATGTGTCGAAGTCATGCACTGCTACGACGAGGTCAATGAGTTTATTGAGAAAGAGGGATCGAAGCAGCAGAAGAAGTTGTTTACCCAGGAAGGAAAGGTCACTTATAAGTGCATGATGATGGAAAGACCAACAGAGAAAGACCTTGCCGAGCTGTGGCAAGAACGATTCAAACGCAGCGGTCCTGAAGGTTGTCAGCGGGTTCTTGGGGAACATCAGATCTGCGCGAACGACTACGAATTCTACCTAAAGAAGCCAAGTGGTAAAGAGGTCATTGATAAATACTTTGGCGAAGATCGCATAAGAAGAAGTGTACCCGCTGGGCCATAGTGGTGGACTTTGTATGTAGTAGAGAGCATGAAGTCGGCAAGCTGCTATACGCAACAAAACGGATAGTCCTGCAATGGCAAAGGCAGCTATGCTGCGTATTACTAGAGTTTACATTGAGCTTGTAAGAAGTGAACGAAGCAGATACTGTCGAGGGTCGCTGCCAGAGGGAGTCATGTTGGCGAAGGACGTATATGTCTGTGCGAGGCGCAATGCCACCGCGATGTATGACTGAACCTTTGAGTAGTGACAACTCCCAGTCATACTATACATCATATTTATAGTGACAGGATCCGCAGGGGTTCTGCTTCCTATCAGCACCAGAACTCTTACCTTTAGCGAATACAAACCTCCCTACTAAAACCTCTATAACAAAGTGCCTCATACTTTCTTCTTTTCGCTTTCTGCAAGCCGACTCCAAACGCGTTAGCTACCTCGCAATCATCACAAAGTCTAGCCCAGGCCACTCGCATGTCGAAAGCCAAACCGATACCATGCGCGTTATACGAAAAATGGAACAAATGTCTCGGCAACGCCCGCGGCACTAAGCTGTGCGACACTTGTCAGGACGTCCATCCTGCTGCTGCATACCTCTGGAGACGCGATAACCCAGGGTTCAATGATCTCTTCAAAGAAATCGACGAAGAGAACGAGGACCCCAAGACGTGCGTGACGCGCCGGGGACGATACGCAGATAGTCAGATGACGGCAGATGTGCTCGACAGCCGGCAAGGCAGTAATGGTCCAAGTTACTCAAAAAGCCCTGGCGTGTTCTTTTGTAACCTGATGCCGAAAGACGCGAAGGAAGACACCGTCTGTACATTCTGCCTGGAGGCCATGACCAAGTATGGTCATGGGGGTTGGTTTAATGAGAACCACACGGTGAATGAAGGCCAAATCCTGAAGAGCTCTAAAAGACACAAATGATCGAAGCGGGAGGTGTCAGGACCGGGTTGTATGCTGTATCGACACATGTAGCGAATGTACAAGGTTTCCATGTATGTAAAACGAGGTTGGGTAGTCTAATGTACAAAAGAGTCTCGCAATGACGTGTATGAGTTGAAAAAAGTGTGGAGTTTGGTAAGACTTGCTTCTAGAAGGAATGATGTTCGCGCGCCTTGCCCAATCGAGCCGCTAATGCCGGAGAGGAGGGGCATTACGCCGCCTTCGGCCCTCAATAAATTGCGAACACAAGACTCATACCAGACCCCGATATCTCCGCGCACCCTTACGACTGCCCATACTGTGACTCACAGTTGTTTCATCTATAAGGAAGTCAGTTCCTGGCTTTGTGCTTTTGTCACACACTCCAACCTTTCGATTCGGTATTCAGCAACATGGACGGCATTAAGAAGACGTTTGCGCAGTGCAAGAAGGAGGGCAGGGTATGATCTGGCATGAGCAGGAAGATGTATACCAGGCTGACATGCGTGTAGTCTGCCCTCGTCACGTATGTGACTGCGGGTTTCCCTACCGCAGAGGAGACGCCAGACATTATGATGGCCATGGAGGCCGGAGGTGCTGGTACGTAGGACGAGCAATTGCTGCCTCAAACAAACGACGACAGTCAATTGACACGCTCAGACATCATTGAACTTGGCATGCCCTTCACCGACCCCATTGCCGACGGCCCAGCAATTCAGACCGCCAACACTGTACGTTGAATCATTCGCCACAATCCCTTGGAAAACCTCCCTGACACCATGTGTCTATAGCAAGCCCTCAAGAACGGCGTCACGATTGGCCATGTTCTCCAGATGATCCGCGACGCGAGGAAGCGGGGTCTGAAGGCACCAGTCCTCCTCATGGGATACTACAACCCGCTGCTCAGCTACGGCGAGGAGAAAATGCTGCAGGATGCGAAGGAGGCCGGAGCCAACGGCTTCATCATGGTCGACCTGCCCCCGGAGGAGGCTCTGCGCTTCAGGAACTTCTGCCGCAGCTACGGGTAAGGACACCATTCAGACGAGCTTGGGACGAATACTAACAAGACAGTCTCTCATACGTTCCCCTCATCGCACCCGCTACCTCCGAGCACCGCATGCGCGTCCTCTGCAAAATCGCCGATTCCTTCATCTACGTTGTATCGCGTATGGGCGTCACCGGCGCCAGCGGAACAATGAACGCTGCACTTCCCCAACTTCTCGAGCGCGTCCACAAATACTCTGGCAATGTACCGGCAGCTGTCGGTTTTGGTGTCAGCACACGCGACCACTACCTGAGCGTAGGCAAGATCGCTGAGGGTGTCGTCATTGGCTCCCAGGTTATCAACACATTGATCAAGGCTCCAGCAGGAGAGGGCGCGAAGGCAGTTGAGAAGTACTGCGACGAGATCTGCGGCAAGAGCACCCGCGAGACAACCCGTGAGGTCGGCATCGTTGAGACATTGAACGAGGCCAAGGAGCCCACCGGCGTACACGTCGACAAGGTCATCACGGATGCTGACACACCCGATGGCCCCGGTCTCGCCGACCAACTGGAGATGCTCAACACTGACGAAACGGACGGCGCGAATGGAACCAACCAGCAGAACGGATTTGACGAGAAGCACAAGTTCCCCGCACGATTCGGCGAGTTTGGCGGGCAATATGTGCCTGAATCTCTTATGGATTGTCTTTCTGAGCTAGAGGAGGGTTTCAACACAGCGATCGAAGACCCCAAGTTCTGGGAAGAGTACCGATCCTACTACGACTGGATGGGCAGACCAGGACATCTGCATCTTGCCGAGCGCCTTACCGAGCACGCTGGAGGTGCCAACATCTGGTTGAAGAGAGAGGATTTGAACCATACCGGAAGTCACAAGATTAACAACGCTCTCGGACAGGTACTGATTGCCAGGAGATTGGGAAAGACTGAGATTATTGCCGAGACTGGAGCTGGCCAGCACGGTGTTGCGACAGCCACCGTCTGCGCCAAATTCAACATGAAGTGCACCATCTACATGGGTGCCGAGGATGTCAGACGTCAAGCCCTGAACGTCTTCCGCATCAAGTTGCTCGGTGCGCAGGTCGTTGCTGTCGAGGCTGGTGCGCAGACCCTGCGTGATGCCGTCAACGAGGCCATGCGCGCTTGGGTCGTCCACCTTGACACAACCCACTACATTATCGGATCCGCCATCGGTCCTCACCCCTTCCCTACGATCGTCCGTACTTTCCAGTCGATCATCGGAAACGAGACCAAGGAGCAGATGCAAGCCAAGCGTGGCAAGCTCCCCGACGCTGTAGTCGCTTGCGTTGGTGGCGGCAGCAATGCCGCGGGCATGTTCTACCCCTTCTCCAAGGACATGTCCGTTAAGCTTCTCGGTATTGAGGCTGGTGGTGACGGTATCGACACAGACCGCCACAGTGCAACACTCTCCGCTGGAACCAAGGGCGTGCTTCACGGCGTGCGTACCTACGTTATCCAGAACCAGCACGGACAGATCAGCGAGACTCACTCGGTCTCTGCTGGTCTCGACTACCCGGGTGTTGGTCCAGAGCTTTCCAGCTGGAAGGACAGCGACCGTGCCAAGTTCATCGCCTGCACTGATGCTGAGGCGTTCATTGGCTTCCGTCTGATGTCCCAGCTCGAGGGTATTATCCCTGCGCTGGAGACTTCGCACGCCGTCTTTGGTGCCATCGAGCTGGCCAAGACGATGAACAAGGACCAGGACATTGTCATCTGTGTCTCTGGACGTGGTGACAAGGACGTGCAGAGTGTTGCGGAGGAGCTGCCCAAGCTAGGACCCAAGATTGGCTGGGACCTGAGGTGTAAGTCTGACAGTATTTAAGATGACTGAACATTGCTAACATTCTACAGTTTAAACGATGATGTTATTCACGCGACACCAGGCAAATGATTGTATATAGCCCAAAAGTGAATAAAAGTTCAAGCAATGTTCGCTACACGCATTTTCAACATGATTTCCAACTGTCTTGGTCAAAGTGAGGCTCAACAGACGATCTACCAGATATCACACGTTTTGAAGCGTGATTGGCGCAGAAGATCGCGGGCGAGCTATGCGCAACGATGATGCAGGTCGAGTGGTTTCGGCATGGGTGGGATGCAGGCCATGACTAGTTGCGGCCAGGAGCGGGCCATCGCGAAGATATGCAAAGGTTCCACTGAAGTTGACTGAAGACGAGACGGAAGCTGCTTTCCATGGGACGTGGGGTTTAGGCGCGTGACAATGGACGACGACGCTACCTGTCGCGTATCCCGAGACCGTGTATGGGCGTGGGAGGTGTGGGTGCGGGAGCGCGGCGGAGGGCCAATGGCGGGCCCATGTGTTCCGGCGCGGCCCTGGTGTGCGGTGACGAAAGCGCATCCACATCTTCAGGCCAGCGCCGAGAAAGGTTCCGCGCCAATCCCACACATCTCAATGCCGCATTTCCACGTGCTGCACGCCACCTGACCGCCTGCGACTACGCCCTCTAGCCTGCCTGCCGTAGCGTCTTCTCGCTGGAGACTGCCTAACACAATCCTCCACAACCCGCAAGCCTCCACCCTGGACGCCTTGAGCCCTTACCGTGACGCTGCGCCCATCCAAGCCTTTGAGCTTCAACCACTCGACCCTACCCCAAAAGAGACACGGCGGGAGACCAAGAGGGAACAAAAGCGACGGGAGAAGCTCGAGCAGCTTCGCGAGGCCGACGAGATGAAATTCTCCCACAGCCTGCAGTTCAATGCAGTGCCGGACTGGAGCAACCACTACATTGCCTACAGCAACCTCAAGAAGCAGTACGTGGCGCGTCTCAGCAGGAAGGAGGAAGTATTAGTAAGATCGAGGGCTGACAGACTCTGTGTACAGAATATACAGCCTTGAGACGCAGCTCAACCAGAAGCAGGCGCATACCGATGCAGAATCCTCACCACTCCTCAACGGGGATGCCGACGATCCTGACAAGGTCTTCACGAATACCCTCGACACGGAACTAGAACGCGTCACGTCTTTCTACAAGCTCAAGGAAAATGAGATCTTCGAGGAGATGGAGGCCCTGCTCAAGGACGAGGAGCTGTTCGAG